TTCTCCAAAAATGATATACCAATTGGCAACAAATACCTGAAAAGATGCTGACTATCACTGATCATTAGGGAAATGCAAATGAAAACTACAATGAGATGCTACCTCACACCCATTTAGGATGGCTACTATCAAGAGACCAGAAAATAACAAGTGTTGGCAAGAAGGTGGAGAAACTAGAACCCTTGTGCACTGTTGTAAAATGGTGTAACCACTATGGAAAACAGTATGGCAATTCCTCAAAAAGCGACAACAGAATTACCGTATGACCCAGCAATTCTACTTCTGGCTATATACCTCAAATAACTGAAAGCAGAGTCCTGAAGAGTGTTTATAAACCCATGTTCACAGCAGCGTTATTCACAATAGCCAAAAGGTGGAAGTAACCCAAGGGTCTAACAATGGATGAACAGATAAACAAAATGTGGAATATACATGTAATGAAATATTTATTCAGCCTTAAAAGGGAAGAAAATCCTGACACATGCCACAATGCAGATGAACCTTGAGGACTGCACAAAAAGACAACTACTGTATGATTCCACTTAAATGAGTTACCCAGAGAAGTCAAATTCATACAGATAAGTAGAATGGAGGTTATCAGGGGCTAGGGGGAAGGTGAAATGGGGAGTTGTTTAAGAGTGGAGAGTTTAAATTTTGAGAGTTGAAAAGAGTTCTAGAGATTGGTTGCATAACAATGTGAAAGTACTTAAACTACTGAACTGTACACTTAAAAATGGTTAAGATGGTACATTTTATATTATGTGTATTTTACCACAATTTTTTTTAAAAGAAGAGAAAAAAAAATCATTCAGAGGAAGAAAGATACATTACATACAGGAGAATAAGAATAAAAAGAACAGCTGACCTGTCATCGGAAACAATGAAGGTCAGAAGACTATAGAATGGCATCTTTTAGAATGCCGAAATAAAACCATCATTCCAGAATTTTATACCCAGCAAAAATATCTCTAAAAAATAAAGGTGAAATAAAGGTATTTCCACATAAATGAAAGCTGGGAAAATCTGTTACCAGGGACTCACATGGCCAAAAATGGTAAAGGAAGCTCTTCCTTTACCAGAAGAGCGCTTCCTTTACCAGAAATAAAAACAGATAAAAACCCCACTAGATAATGTTTAATATTTGCTTTCAGCACTCATACGTATTTTAAACATGGGAGGAAAAAAACAGTATCTTATAATTATGCAGATATTTACTATTTCTGCTGCTCTTTCTTCGTTCCTGATCTTCGTTTCCTTCTGGTACTTCTTTGCTTTAGCCTTATTATTTCTTTAAGTCAGATCTCTTGGAAATTCTCTTATTTACCTTTCATCTGAGAGTGTCTTAATTTTGTTTTCATTCCTGAAGGAATACTTTTGCAGAATATAGACTTCTGGGTTGATAAGAGTTTCTTTTTCTTTCCATTAATTTCAAGTGTGTTTTCCTTTATCATATGGAATACTGTTATAAAATGGGCTTTTAAACCTGTGTGTAGTAGTTGCAACGTTAGTTATATTGGGGTTGGCATCTGTGCTCTCCCTTGAGAATTGGTTTGCTGGCTCTCTGTAGGCTGAGACATTTCGGATTATATTTGAATGTTGTGTAGACTCTCGGTTCTTTTATCATCCTCTGCAGAATGCTGATTTGGTTTTTGCAGGCAATCAATATGGTCAGGTTCAACCTGTAACTTCTGTTTCTCCTCTGTGTGTGGTAGTGAAAATCTCAGTTTAGTTCACAGAGCTCTGGTTATGCTGATCTGAGTCTGTCCCACACATAGGTAGCTCAAGGTGAGCCTGAGACTTGTGTGGGTTTATACCCAGAATCAGGAATTGCCTTCACTAGCTCTCTCCACACTGGGATACTCCACTCCTTTCCAGTCCCCAAAGGGCTCCTTTTCTGGTTCCTCTAACCAGAAAGATGAGGTTTTTATTAGAGTTTCAGCAGTCTGCCCCACTGTGCTGCTTTGTGATGGAGCCCACTCTCAGGACAAATCCACCAGAGACAGAAGATTTACCTGTGTACTCACATCTCCCAAGTTTTGCTCCCCTCCATAATCTGCTTCCTTTCTTTTTCTTTACAGAGTCTTTGGGTAATTTTATTTTGCCCAGAGTTTTTATCTGTAATTAGTGGGAGGGACAGAAGCCTGTGGTGGCTTCTGCCACCATAGCGGAACTGGAACTCCTAAGTTCTTTTTCAAAGTTTCTATCTCTTTCCTAAATTTCACCATCTCTTTACTCATTATCCACCCCCTCTTCCCACCATAGATTAAAGCAAGTAACACAACTATTTTAAAGTCTTTGTATGCTAGCTCCAAAAACTGGGTTGATTTTAACTTGTTTCTATGACCTGAGCTCTCTAGGACTATAGGTCAACTTTTACAGTTTCTTCACATGTCCAGCAATTTCTCGTTGTATACTGACATTTGGGATGATATGTTATAGAAATTTCCTTCATAGCAAAAGCCATGTAAATTGAATCTCGCTAAATGTGGGTCCCTTGTTTTAAGAGTCAAATCAGTCCTGCTTTTTGATTGCTCTTCAGTGCCTTTGAACAGGATTTTAAAATGTTTTGTCCAGAGTTTATAATTGTTACAGTATGTTTGGTATCATGCATGCTACTTCACCATTACCAAGAACTACATAATCCTTCTAGACTGAAGAAAACTTCCTTCCCGCCCTCCTTTCCTGCTTGGAATTCTACACACACTGTTTGAACTTACTATTTTTTAAAATCTCCCTGAGATCCTGCTCATCACCCTCTCGCTCCCACACCCACACAAGTAAAAACAAAGACACAGAGAAAAGCACAACTTGATCAAGGCCCTACAATTAAGCTGCTTCCCCAGACGTAGATAAATTCTGTCTCATCTATTATGTTACCTCCATAGCACAGATTTGTTCAAATATTTATTATGCACCTACTATGTGCCCTGAGTCCTGTCCCAAAGAACAGTAACATATTAATATAAAAATCCATAATACGAGGTAGAAAGTTCCAAATGCTGTGAGAAAGATCATCAAAAACTGCTATGGGAATTCAGAGAAAAATGAATTCCAGCTAGGAAGATTTAAAAGAGGTTTTACAGAGGAGGTGAGGGTACAGAGAGTGGGCCCCAGCTGCTAATTCAAGCAGAGACGTTTATATATGTGTTCACTGTTGCTTTAGCAGTACCATGGGACCGGAGGTGGTGGCAAGTTGTTAATACTATATAAAGCTTTCCACTTAAAGTGTGCTCTGCACTGACATCATCTACCGTTTCGGAGAAAGGCAGGATCTCAGGACCCACCCCAGGCCCAGTGACTCAGAATCAGCATTTCAGCAAGACCCTCAGGTATTTCATACGCACATTAATGTTGGAGAGGCACTGATGTAAAGTGCTCTGTCTTTCACTAGAATTACGACCGTAAGACCTCACATTCTCTCCTACCAGGCAATCCTACGTGCAGTAGAAGGGGAGGCGGCACAGGAGAGCATCTGGCCATGTGTTCTGAGCACCTCCTACCTCCTGGCTACCTTAGGTATATTCTGCCATTTTATGCTCGTTAAGTAAGCCTTTGAACTAATTATTCCCACTCCGCAGATAAGGAAATTGAAGGTCAAAAAGGCTCACTATGTGGTCCAAGGTCACAAAGAGGTGGCCAAACCTGAATGTGAACCCATAACGGACTGACTGCAAAATACTTTTCACTCTGTAAAATACTTTTCATTCTACTATACTGTCTCTGGTCTGTGCTTCAGGAGAATCAGGTACTAACTAGTTCAGTGATCTTGGTTAATTCATTCTACCTTTTTAGAACTCAGCCCTTCATGTGTATGTTGATGGAAGTCGACTGAACTAGTGAAAGTTCACAGATGAATCAACGCTGCTTCAGGAAAATGGGTTTTTCAGGCAGACTTAAAATTGAGTGTTGGGAGGTTCTGTTGCATGAAAATGACTCAGAAAACCATAACCAGAACAGCACAGTGTAGAAAAAAGAATACAGGACCAGAAAGGAGAAACCTGGGTTCTAGTCCTCTCTCTGTCATTTATTAGTTGTGAGTCTCAGTTTCTTCATCCATGGAATGGAGATAAATGGTCTACCCTGGCGATCTCTCAGTGTGTTTAACTGGTTTCAGTGAGATTATGCACGAAAATACTCTGTGACATGATTAATACAGCCAGTTCTCTAATTGCCTTAATTTTCGTAACACAAATTAGATATTTCTAAATTAATTCAGTAAGGAACATGATTTACAATCTGCTGGCCATGGTAGAATTGGGAACTAGCTCTGGCAAAGCCCACCAGCTCTGCACTTTTGTTTACCCTAACAATGGGAATAAAAGGTAATAAAAATATGTACAGGCTCTGTACCTGTTAGAGTTGATGGTGTTAGAAAAACAAAAACTTATTCCAGAGCAGGGAGTCCTTGCTCTAGAACTTTCTGTGATGATGAAAATGTTTTATATCTGTATTACGCAGTATGGTATCCACTAGACATGTGTGGCTACTGAGTACTTGAGATATGGCTAGTATAACTGAGGAACTTAATTTTAAATTTTATTTAATTTTAACTGATTCAAAGTTAAATAGCCACATGTGGAGAGTGGCTGCCATATGGAACTGTAGCTCTAGAGCAAAGTGAGATAAGGATTTGTTCAACAATATTAAGGTTTTATAGTTACACTCTTAGGGCCAACAAGTGCACTGGCTTTGTTTTGTTCAATTCTGAAACTCTAGCTCCTAATGCTTTTTTTTTCAAATTAAACCAGAAATTTTTATAGCATGATTTTTGATAATGGGAGGCTTCTTTGGAATCCAATTATCATTGTAGAGCAACGTAGATGATACCAATAAAATGTGAAGGTTGCCTAAGCAAAAACATGATGTTTTGTTTTATAATTATATATTTGCCCACCTGGAAAGATAAAATAGTTTACTCTTACGTATTTAAAATTAAAAAGCAGAGTCTGAAAAGTACTAGGCCCGGCAAGTGGTTGCTCAACCAACTGCTGCTTGCCTACCTTGCATTTTCTGCTCTCCGGCTTATGCACTGGTGCAAGTAGAGATACTCCTGAGGTGCACTGGTGGACAAGGCGGGCTGCACGTGGTTCGACACCGAGGGTTCAAAGGTGAACAAGGTTGGCTGGCTGGAGTGCGAAGGGGCTGAGGATTTTCGTTCTCGGAGAAGGTGCTGATTGGAGCTGCTGAACTCAGCTGGAGAAGAGCGGGGGCCGTGACTGGCTGAGGAAATGTTCCTCAGGGAGTCTGTGAAAAGGAGAAAGAGCTCTCTGAATGGTAAAGGAAGGGAAGGTGTCCTTATCCCAAACTGGGTTGTCAGACGAGGAGAAAATACTAAGAGCAGAGGCAATGGTCCAGCCGCAGCATTCTCTTCCTCATGCACCTGCCCCGGCTCTGCCCTCCCAGAGCGCAGGGCTGTGGCTTCCAGGCTCTGGACCTCTGTACTGCTCCTGGAGGCGACTCCCTATCACAGCCTGGGCAGTATCTGCCCCACTTCCAGGAGGTGTGCCTACTCGAGGTCCAGAAGTGCGACTCTGGCTCTCGAGCAAGGCCAGCCTCTGGGGCGGTGAGTGCCACGGCCTTCCCTCTCTTTGGTGGCTCCTGCTGTCATCATCTCCCTCAAAGCTAAGCTGGCTTTGCTAAATGAAACTTTGCTTCCTGAAGACTTATGTACTGAGTCCCCGGACTGTGTGTTGCTGTACTAACGACAAAAGCACATGTAATTGGAACGGTCCCTTAAGACTGGTCCCAGCTCCTCCCGCCTACCCTTCCAAGTCCTCTGAGGACGATGTTCCCCACATCTTGTACTCACCACTCTCCATCTATTGGTCCTTTTTCTCTTAACTCTTATCTTAAACTCTCGTCTGTTGTGTTAGAAAGGAAGTGAGGTATTAAAGACAGATAATAGTTTAGAGTAATACCCCCAGCCAAGGGCATTATTCATTTGGCTGGCTCTCTAAGCTTAGTCCAAATTCCTTAGCACAACATACAAGGCCTTTCACAGTCTGACCTATTTCCTGTTTCCCTCCTCCCATACCCCAGGCCTATGAAAGCTTCATCAGTCTGTGAATGCACCAGCCCCCCCCCCCTTTTTTTTTAACATCTTTATTGGAGTATAATTGCTTTACAATGGTGTGTTAGTTTCTGCTTTATAACAAAGTGAATCAGTTATACATATACATATGTTCCCATATCTCTTCCCTCTTGCGTCTCCCTCCCTCCCACCCTCCCTATGTGACAGAGCGAGAGAGTGGCATGGACATATATACACTACCGGCCCCTTTTATGATTCTTTGTTTTGGCCTATGCTGTTCCTTCTGCCTGGATTTCACTTCTTCTCCTCTGGCACTCACACACAGACTTTAAGACCCTACACGGGTACCACATTCTCTCTGAAACCTTCGTGGGCTTGGCCATTCTTCTGGGTGCTAACAGCACGTGGCCCATGCTTCATTATATCCACTGTCACCCTGCTTCCTTGCCTGGCCCATGGGTTTCTAAGACAGTGACTGATGATGTTACCTCTACGGTGCCAGCATTTACCGAATAAACCCCAGGTACATACAAAGTTCTGAGCCTGTCTTTGTAGAATAAGCAAAAACATTCATTCAGCATACAATAATTCCAACAGTGAAACTTTTTTGTTCAAAAGAAAGATTTAAAGATGTAATTTCTAGTGGGAGGTAATGTTTTAGTGGTGATGATGGTGGCTTTCTATGGTTATTCAAAGCACTTCAGAGGGGACATAGTTCCCTGTTATCTGACCTATTTTAGGGCCCTTCTCATGGCCCTGGGCAGGATCCACCAGCTCATGGATGCTCTACAGCATTAATGACTCTGCAGTCTTTTCTGCTGCTGGGCAAGACAACTTCTGCCAGCGTACAGCAGGAAAAGCCACAGGCCTCTGGGGAAAAACTGTCCCATTGACAGCTGTATTGACCTCCAAAATGAATTCCCATTACAGGTCTCCTAGTGAACTGGATGTTTGTTAACAGAATCAATGGCTTCATTACTCCATTAGACCTGCAAGATGAACTCTCTAGTGGCAGAGGAGAGGGTTTGTGCTGGGGGACAGAGAAAGCCCAGCGCCGGGGATCAGCCCAAGCCGCTGCCTCAGGAGACATAGGGAAGGTGCAAGGGAAACCTCTGGTGCATTCTACACTCTCTGTGGTCTTTTGGACTCCTCTTCCACTGCCCAGCCCTTCAAGGGGGGCTTTCTCCAGGGTTCTGCCCCAGACCCTCCTACGACCGCGCTCTCACTTTGGAGACTCTCCAGGGGTACCCTGTCCACTCTCACAGCTTCAGCTATGTGATAACAGCTCACAAATCTGCATCTCTAGCTCAGTTCTCTCTCCTGGGCTCCCTGTCTTATATCCCCACCCCCACTCCCCATCTACTGAGTGTCTCCATTCAGCTGTCCCACAGGCAGGTCAAGCTCAACAATCTAAACGGAACTCCTCCTCCTGCGTCTCTAGCTCAGTGAAGTGCATCAATGTCACCATCCAGTCAGTTCCCCAAGCTGGAAACCTAGGCATCATCTGTGACTCTCCCCTGTTTCTCAGCAACCACGGCATGTCATCATGTCACTGCCTTGCTTAAAATTTGTCACTGGATCCCTGGTATCCTCAAGATGACTTACAAAGCTCTCTCTTTTAAAAACCACTTTCCTGTTCATTTCTTCAATCTTGTTTCCCACCTGTACTTCCTTGTGTTTCAAACAGAATTTCAGGAAAACACCAACCTCTTTCTCATTGCTCCATACATTAGGCTACCAATTCAGTAAGGGCAGAGATACTGTCTCTCTTGTAACAGTTTTACCCCTAGAATGAAGCCCAGTCTGTGATCCAACTCCATAATCATGTGTTGATTACACAGGAGTACAGAGAGCATAAGTGATACTCCCTCAGTAACATCCACTGACTCCTCATTGCCTTCAGAATAAAGTCCAGGTTCCCCAATCTGACAAGAATAGCCATTTTGTCACAACCTACTTATCCTGCCTTGTCACCCAATTCATCCTTCATGTCCCCTATGCTGAATGCTTGTGGGTCTGTATAAAGGAAGAGTGAGCTATCCTCAGCTCTAGGGCCCTCTGCCTCCAGCTCAGGCTATGGATTCAAATCTGTGACCCAGTCTGTTTACTCACAGAGCTAGAGAAATTTCACCTGAGTCTCAGTTTCCTTATTTACAAATTGAAATAGGGTGGGTTTATGAGGATGAAGTGCATAGAGGGCCAAGAAAGCACTGCAGGTTGTAGGTACTCAAAATGTGTTCTAGTCACTTCTGTATCTCCGTGCCTAGAACAGTCCCAGCACATAGTGGGTGTTCATTACACTGAATTCATTGTTGAATGAATAAAAGAATTTTCCCTGGCATAAAAATCCACATATGCTTGTTTCTTGTGGTCAAAGTCAGAGAGGTTTTTCAGGTCTGTCAATAAGATGAAGTAAGGGTTAGCATGAGTTGGGCCCACAGACTCCTGGAATTCCACTCTTCTGACATAAAGCCATGTCTATGAAGCCAGTTAGCTCCATAATGGCCTGCAGCCCCAGAAGAGTTCTTTCAAAGCTGTTTGGGCACTAAATCTTGCCAAAAGCCTACCTCAGCTTGCAACTTTAAAAGACTACCTGAATTCATGTGATGATTCCTTTGGTACCTTTACTGGGTTAAACAATGCCAATCCAAAATTCATGGAGCCTCAGAATGTGACCTTATTTGAAAACAGCATCTTTGCAGATGTAATTCGTTAAAATGAGGTCATATCGGATTAGTGTGGAACCTACTTCAATGACTGGTGTCCTTATAAGAAAAGAGAGAAAAAGACATACAGGAAGGGGATGAAAGAGGTAGAGATTGGATAAATAAAAGGTGATATATCCATACAATGGAATATTATTCAGCCATATAAGTGAATGAAATACTAATACATGCTACAACATGGATGAATCTCCAAAACATTATGCTAAGAGAAAAAAACTAGTGATAAAAGACTATAGATTACATGACTTTATTTATGTGAAATGTCTAGAATAGGAAAATCCAAAGACAGCAAGTAGACTAGTGGTTGCCTGGGGTGGGGAGCAGTAATGGAAGGTGATTGCTCATGAGTATGGTATTTCTTTTTGGGTTGATGAAAATTTTCTAAAATTAGACTGGTGATGGTTGCACAACCCTGGGAAATACTAGACCCACTGAACTATATACTTTAAAAGGGTGAATTTCATGCTATGGGAAATACATCTCAGTAAATTTATAAACACACACACAGTTTGACAGTTCCTCAAAAAGTTAAACACAGAGTCACCATATGACCCAGCAATTCCACTTCTAGGTATATACCCAAGAGAAATGAAAACATACATCTACACAAAAACTTGTAAACAGATTTTCACAGCAGCATTACTTATAATAGCCAAAAGTAGAAACAATCCAAATGCATATAAGCTGATCGATAAAGAAAATGTGGCATAGCGTATAATGGAATATTCAGCAGTAAAAAGAATAAAGCACAGGACTTCCCTGGTGGCGCAGTGGTTGAGAGTCTGCCTGCCGATGCAGGGGACACGGGTTCGTGCCCCGGTCCGGGAGGATCCCACATGCCACGGAGCGGCTGGGCCCGTGAGCCATGGCCGCTGAGCCTGCGCGTCCAGAGCCTGTGCTCCGCGACGGGAGAGGCCGCAACAGTGAGAGGCCCATGTACCGCAAAAAAAAAAAAAAAAAAAAAAAAGGAATAAAGCACAAATACATGTTATTACAACATGTACAAACCTTGACAATACTGTGCTAAGTGAAAAGAAGCTAGATTCCATTTATATGAAATGTCTAGAAGTGGTAAATATATAGAGACAGAAAGTAGATTAGTGGTTGCTTACGGCTGGGGTGAGGATGGGGTATGGGAAGTGACTACAAATGGGTATAAGGTTTCTTTTCGGGGTCATAAAAATGTTCCCAAATTAGACTGTGATGGCGGTTGCACAGCCCTGTGAATATACTAAAAACATTGACTTGTACACTTTAATTGAGTGATATATGGTGTGTGAATTAAAACACACACACACACACAAAAACACACACACACACACACACACACGCATAAGCCCTCTGCAAAGTATGAAGTGTAAAGTATATGCAAGAGATTAACAGTCATCCAGTTAAATTCATCTGACCTTTAGTTTTTCTTTATTTCTTCTCCGAAGAGAAAACTGAACACTCAGTAAATACCAAGCCCTTACTAAACTCCCTTGAGT